CTTCTTCAGATGCAAGTCTTGCATCTAAAGAATTGAGGTTCTTACCCACGAAAGCTTATTCTCCCAGTACTTCTGTTAGTCTCAAAGGTGCCACAGGACCCTCTGTTGCTTTTTCGAGGAGTAAAGAATTTTTGATGCTAAAAAAGATGTAGTAGCAAAATTCTTAATGTGAAAAAATGGAATTAGCTTCACTTTCATTGTTACTCATATCACTATCTTCATCAAAAGCTGCCATGCTTGTGATGCAGCTGCTCAGGACAAAGTAGAAGAATGCACAGAAGGAAAATTGTGATGTAGACCAGTTTTATGTTTCTTGCTGTTTAACTGCAATAATCCGTCTTTGACAGAAGCTGAACACATATCACAAGAATTTAACAAGCATTTCTCCATCTATCTATATGTTTCACATAGTCAGAAGCACATTACTTACGTTTAGCTTTAATTTTTTCAAAGTTTGTGTAGTAAAAAATGTCCATACAAATTATTTTTAGTTTTTCCTGACTCTACATATATTATGATGTCACTGTTAGCATTCCAGAAGTAGTGAGACATTAATATCTAGATTTATGAAGTATCTCATGGATTTCAATCAACCAGTAATCATGCAGTTCTGTTTTCTAATGGCTGCTGTACCAGAAGATTCCAGCCACTCGGTGTTTTCCGGCATGTTGCCCCCTCCCTCCCTCCCTCCCTCCCAGGAGCCTTACAGATTACATGGAGGGGAAGGGTGGCAGGCAGTCCATCTTCTTGGACTAACACAATGGACTAATAAGCAGCTGCAGGAAGAGAGGGTCTTTACAGAGATGTGATGTTACACCTCCTTCATTAGCCTAGAACTTTGCATATTATCAACAAAGTATTGCTGGGGAAATGTGCGGTATGAAGGGGATTCTTGTTGAGGGGGAGGAGTGAGGGTTTAGTTACATGAGTGTTTTAATGTAGGTTATTGAGGGTTGGTGGGGAACTATTAGAGGGGTTTAATAGCTGTGTTACTTTTGTTTAAGGGAGAGGCTTAATGGCTGCACATTTCTCTTTGTGTAGAGGAAGAAGCTCTTCAGGGCACGGGCTGTGTCTTACCTTGTTTAATGTGCTTTTTGTAAATTTCTGTGTGTGTTGATGGCATGGTATACAAATAAAGCTACACATACATACAATGTTTGTTCTAGAATATTCCGGCCAATAAAGATGCTCAACTTTCAATTAGTTCCCCTTTTTGCCCAACAGGTGGCATTAGTATGTAGTACAGTAAGTGATCCAAACATTTAAGTAGGGCTTCTTAACAGATGGCACCATCATGCAGTGAAAAATGTAGGTCACCACTTACATGAGGGCATTCTTGCTGGACTATTTGAACATGTTCAAATAATAATAAGTCAATTGACCAGTTTGTCAAGCCTAATCCAGAAAGTTGAAGGAAGGGCACACCTTCCTCCAGCTCCTTGTGGCAGCAACCAGGAGTCTGAGTGAGGTGAGGTGTAAAGAAGCAGAGTCCCTCCACCTTATCCTGCTGGCAACCAGGAGGCTCTGGATGGGAAGAGGTTGGGGAGAAACCGAGAGAAAGCTCCTTCAACCTTTTAATGTCTGAAGGGTTGATTGTGTGTGGTGGTAGTAAGTATTTATTTATTGGCCATCTGTTAGACAAAAGGTAATTCAAGAGGGGTGTCCCTACACATACTGGAATGTGAGCCCTTGCCCGTTCTCAACATTGGGGGGTGGGGGGTTGGACTTCTTACTAGGGTATTATAGATTATAGAGCTCACTCCATCTGTATTATATGGCTCAGTCTAGCTAGTACACATCATGCTTCCAAAGCCCTAGAATAAATATTTAATGAAAAAATAAATCAATAAAAATCAGGCTGAATAATCTAGTGATTAGAGCAGAGAACAGTAGGCAATGTGAGTTTTGTTCCCATTTTTGCCACTGACTCAGTGTGTCTTTGGACAAGTCTGCCTCATCTTATATACCAGGGGTAGGCAACCTATGGCATGCGTGCCAAAGGTGGCACTGGCACGCAAGCTGATTTTCAGTGGCACTCACCCGGGTCCTGGCCACCAGTCCGGGGGGCTCTGCATTTTAATTTAATTTTAAATGAAGCTTCTTAAACATTTTAAAAACCTTATTTACTTTACATACAACAATAGTTTAGTTATATAGTATAGACTTATAGAAAGAGACCTTCTAAAAACATTAAAATGTATTACTGGCCTGCGAAACCTTAAATTAGAGTGAATAAATGAAGACTCAGCACACCACTTCTGAAAGGTTGCTGACCCCTGTTATATACAGTGGTGTCCCTTACAGTCCCATGAGCAGATACCTCAGTTATTTCCATGTTATAAATATAGAGATTTAACTGAGATGTATCAGATATCACCATATAATGATAGGCAACTTAAAAGTTAAATTTTATGTCCATAGCGCGTATAGAAAGGGATATCTTTGAAAAGCCCTGTATAAGTGCAAATAATTTAACAGCTACCTGGGGAAGTTTCAACATTTCTGTGGGAGCTGATAGTTTTTGTATTTATTTTGTAGAAGCTGCCTGCAAACTGTGGCTTGGAGTCTGCGAACTAGAGTGCCCAGAACAGTGGTTTGGGGCCGGTTGGTATTACCATAATAACAGGCAAACTTCAATGAAAGGACATTTTTCCCATTTATTTAAATGGGGGGAAATACATCTCCCTTAATTCTCTCTCTCTTCTCTCCCCTCCCCCCTCCCCCCCATTCCAAATGGAGTGTGTATAGACAGACACAGGGATTGAGGAAGCTCTTCATAAAGACATGTTTTTAGGATGGGTGATACTTGTTTGTCTCTAAAATTCCTGAACACCATCTGCCTGTGAAATAAACAGTTTTAAATAAAATCATTTCAGCATGCATTTAAAAATATGCAGATAAACTTATTTATAAATATTTTTCCTTTTCAAGTGTACTTTGCTATTTTTATTTAACTGGTTCATGGGGAAGATGGCAGTCTTCATGAAGTCAATGTATCTTACCATTTTTATTAAAACAGATTTTTAAAAAATTATTTTACACACGCTTGTCAAGTTTCAGAATTACACAATCACTGAAGTTTTCCTTTTACAGAGTGAAATAGATTGGAGAGTGTGAACCAGGAAGTTTGGAGATGTTACATGCAGGAAATCAGTGTCAGAACAATTTATTTTCCTTTGTCCTACCAACATCTGAAAACAAAAACAGGGTAGTTAAGAATTCTAGGCCCCTATTTCCCCCCATTTAAATAAATGGGAAAATGTCCTTTCATTGAAGTTTGCCTGTTATTATGGTAATACCAACCGGCCCCAAACCACTGTTCTGGGCACTCTAGTTCGCAGACTCCAAGCCACAGTTTGCAGGCAGCTTCTACAAAATAAATACAAAAACTATCAGCTCCCACAGAAATGTTCATTTCCCAAGAAAGCATGCAACTATTACTGCTGGGTCCTCAGTTTCAGTGCCTCAGGCATCAGTGTTTGAGTCAATTTGTAACAAGCTCTTCAGGTCTTACCAAAGCTCATTGAAGTAAATGGGTGTCTTTCCCTTGATTTCAGTGCTCATAGGATCAGGTCCTTAGTTGTCTAAAAGAGAAAATTTGCTGTCATTCTTACCTTGTGTTATGCTGGCAGTTGTCATAAAATTTTTTCAGCATCTTCTAAAATTATCTGGACATCTAAAATTTGTGTAGATTTTTTTTTACTTCTCATTAGTGTATAATATGCATCTTTGTTGACTTGCCTTAAAGGTCAAGATAAGACTTCTGTTAAAGCACATACAACTAAATTGCCAAGAGGTAAGATCCAGTGTTTCTAGCAGGCAAATTGGTGTAACAGTTGTACTTAAAGCTGAAATGCAAAGCCAAAAATTTGTCCCCTTCTTTTTATGGTGCTATCCATGTTACTATTGCAAGCTGCACTTTGGGCCCCCCCCCCCTTTTAGTTCCTTCGATGACAGAACTAGAATGGTCAGTTTCATCTGCTTTGTGTCATACATAAGCAGACTATTTGGTTTGGATTTTACAAAACTGAAGAGTGTTTAAATATTTCAAAATAAAAATCTGTTCATGCATTTAAAATTCTTATCATAATCTTTGTTCTAAACAAATCCTAGATTTCAAATGTAAACTAAATAACAAAACCCTTCAAACTTTTAGGTACGAAAGTGGAACATATATTAATCCTGACTTTTTTTTTTAAAAAAACGTGCTACTGAAAGCTATGTTCTCATCAAGATGACCACTTTAAAATTAAAAAAAGGGAGAGACTGGAGAACATCTGCAGCTTTAGTAGCTTTCAGTAGCATTTCCATCATGGTACTGTTAAAGGAAAACTCCAGTGTAATAAGAGCAATTGCTTCATGTAATTACAAAGAAGAAATCAAGTGTCTTGTATATAAAAAAATAAAACAACATACACACACAAAAACACCCTCCGTGTAATGATCAGCTTTTGCTGTTAAAGTATTATCTTATTTAATTAACTGCTATCCAAAATATTACAAATCATTGGTCTTTTCCTTCACACTGTCTTATTTCACAGTGCATCTTATACAATGATCTCTTACTATCTATTTAAATAGCAAATTCTGGAAATCCCATTTGTTATCCTAGTTAGACATTTAGGCCATGTGTATACATACAGCGCTGCAGCAGCACATATAGTGAAGACGCTCTATGCCAGTGGTTCCCAAACTTGTTCTGCTGCTTGTGCAGGGAAAGCCCCTGGCGGGTCGGGCCGGTTTGTTTGCCTGCCACGTCCGCAGGTTCGGCCGATCGCGGCTCCCAGTGGCCGCCGTTTGCTGCTCCAGGCCAATGGGAGCTGCTGGAAGCAGCGCGGACCAAGGGACATATTGGCCACCGCTTCCAGCAGCTCCCATTGGCCTGGAGCAGCGAACCGCGGCCACTGGGAGCCGCGATCGGCCAAACCCGTGGATGCGGCAGGTAAACAAACCAGCCCGGCCCGCCAGGGGCTTTCCCTGCACAAGCGGCGGAACAAGTTTGGGAACCACTGCTCTATGTTAATGGGAGAGAGTTCTCCCGTCGGCATAAAAAAACCACCTCTGCAACATAACACTGTGCACATGAATGCTTATGTCAGTGTAACTTCTGTCACTCAGGAGGTGGAATGTTCATACCCCTGAGTGACATAAGTTCTGCCAACATCGGTTGTAGTGTAGACATAGCCTTAAAAACATCTTGGATCCTGTCCTACTGAATATGGCATTCTGAAATATATCTGAAAAGGTCACAGGTTCATCTCTGTGGGAGGCTATTATACTAAGCAGGAAAACTACCTTGCTCAGTTAACTAGTTTTTAAAAAAAAACAGTTCCACAGCTCAAAGTGGAGTAGTTTCACTTAGCTTATTTAAATAATTTTTATTTTGGAGAGTTTCCTGCTTCTGGTATAAAAACCTCAGGGATTGCATTCAGGTTACTGTTTTTGTTGGAGTCGTGAGGAAATATAGTATAAGCCCCAAAGGTGTGAAGACTTAAGCATATGTGTAACTTTGCACATGAGTATTCCCATGAGTCCTCAGCCCCAGACTACTCCACAGCTTTTAAATTAGTGGGCCTGTTCTCACTGTTTATATCAGTGAAACTCTACCCAAGTGTTTCAGGTTGCACGTGTACATGTGCCTAAGTCTTTGTGGATTTAGTGCTACTGTGATGAAAGTATTAAAAAAAGCAAAATGGATCTGGTGTTATCCCAGTATTCCAGAAAGGAGAAAAAAATGTGTACAATTTAGTCTTTGAGTCTTGCTAGTGGTTTCCCGTTTGCTGAGAAAAAATCTGTTTCAAATATGTAATTGACTGTAAACATCTTAGTAACAGTTTTAGAAAATTACATACCATACAAATAACATTTATTGGCTACATTCAAGTGAATCTAATTAGCAAAAACAAGACAATAGAAGGGTGAAGCGGAAAAGGAGGTGGAGAGAACAGGAAAGGATACCATATGCAATCCTCATGACATAGATTGATACCTTATTGCTGTAAAGTGTCTTTACTATACACTTCCAGGAATGAAGACCATATTTTTTCAAAGGAAGCCAAGCTCTGACTTACCAAGAGGAAAACTCTCAAGACTTACTAGGTCACTGAACTTGTACCAGACGCTAATAGGAAACTTCAGTTTTTCTGCTTTCCATTTCTTTGCAGTATGATATTTTTTTGTGATTAGTGTGGTTCTGAGAAGTAGACAAGTCCCTCAGTTTTCTGTTATATCCAGGAATAAATAATAAAGGATCACATGATAAACTGAAGATCAAATTCAAATTAAGCTAGATAAATATTGCCAGAAACCTTTATCTAATGACCACATGGCATATGTCTGTGACCTGGTCTACAACTACAAAGTTAGGTCGACGTAAGTCGCTTTACATTAACCCTATTTGTGCATGTGTCTACAGACTACATTCAAAGTTGTCTCCCGCCGACATAAGTGCCCTGTTACAGCAACACAGTAAAACCACCTCCCCCTTTGCCATTGATCCCCGGTTGACCTCCTGAGTTTGATGTAGTGCGAGTGTAGACAGTGTGTGACCTGTGTTGATCCTAACAGTCTTCCAGCGGCTGTCCCACAATGCTACGTTCCCTCTGCAGTAACCACTTTAGTCACAAGTCTGAAGTTGACTGCCAGTGTCACAGAGACTGGAAGCCATCCCCACACCCTGTTTAAAAACACCCTTTGACGTGCCTTTTCCTGATTGTCCATTTTGGTGAGCACACCTAATAGCTCTCCTTTGAGTGTGCAACTGCCCAACTGACCATGCCAGGTCCACACTCTAGACTGACTCCTCCATGGAATAGACAGGATGTATTGTATCTCCTGGGCCTGTGGGGAGAAGAGGCTATGCAAACATAGCTATGGTCCAGCTGTAAGAATGAGGACATCTACGAGAAGATTGCACAGGGGATGCAGGGAAAGGAGTATGAAGTGCCATGTGAAAGTGAAGGAACTGCAACAGGCGTATCACAACAATTGATCTTGTGCTGAGCTGCTGACCTGCCACTTTTACACCAAACTGCATGCCATATTTAGCAGAGAACCCACCAACACCAAGCAGACTACCCCCTGAGAACTTTGGATGAGTCTGAGACCCCCGCCCATGAACAGTGAGGTAAAGGAGCGGAGAAGATGCAGTGGAGGGATCCAGTCATGCTACGAGCCAGAACCTGGTATTCTCCACCACCATCTAGCCAGTCCTGCCAGCCAAACACAGATGAGCCCAGTGAAGGGGAAAGAACCTTGGGTAAGTGTGCATCCATTTTCCCTTGCAATGTTTTACATTTAAAGATGGTGCCCTGCCAACAACTTAACAAGACACAGGTATTGACTTTGCATTGTTTTACTCGTAAGAGAAGAGATAGTGGTACAACAGAGTAGAGTTGGTATCTGCTTTTCATTTCCTTATTGGTTTGAGGCGGAGACAACCTGGTGGAGCAGTTTGTTTATGTACCTAGGGTATCCTTCCATGGCATCTCAATTAAACTTTCACGGAGATACTCTGCAATCCTCTCCCAAAGGTTTCTATGGATGGCTGCCTTATCTCTCCCTCCACACTAGAACACTTTCCTGTGCCATTCTGCAATGAGTTTGGCTGGCACCAGTGCATTAAACAGGCTAGTGGCATACAGGTCGGGACACCAGTAGCAGCTGTGCTTTCTGTGCCTTTGTTACCTTCAAGAGTGAGAGATCAGCTAAAATCTCCATCGCCTGTGGTAAATAGTGCCAATATTCAGTGCTATTTCCCCTATATTTGTACGCATGGAATAAGGACCAAAATTTTGATTCATACAATCATAAATCTTTACTGCCCCCCTCTTTTCGTGGTGGCTCATACTCACCATGGCTGAGGCTGGAGGACAGTGCTGTGAAAAGGCGCTCCAAAGCTAAAGTTAATAAGCATGTCATACTAAGTTTTTTGTTTTTACCTGGAATAAGGGAAGGGAGTTCTGAAATGTATCTTTCCTTTTCCATTCTGACTGTAAATCAAGTGATGTGCTTCTCTGTTTTAATCAGCTGCTGCTGCCAGTTTGGCCTTAATGGGTGCCACTGCCACACATTCAGAACAGCTTAACTTGATGAGAAGGAGACAGAAGAGGACTAAGGAGGACATATTCAGCAAGATCCTGCAAGCCGGTGCTGCATCCAACCATGAACAAAGGCCCTGGAGGGTCAACATGTCAGACAGCAAGAAAAGGGTAGAGTGGACAGGAGACAGACCCAGGAATCCCAGCAGGAAAAAGAGAGGGAAATGCACCAGGATATAATGGGGCTTCTGAGGCAGCAAACCTAAATGCCACATAGCCGATGCTGGTTGACATATAGGTCCAGCAATCCCGGACTCCCCACCCTTTGCAGTTGTCTGAGAATTGCATGGTACCAGCTCACCTACCTTCCCCCACATTCCATGTGGCCTCATGGGCCATCTCCTTACCCCTACTATTCCTCGCCAAGGGACAGCAAGGAAAACCACAGCTTCACATACGCTGACCTATGAGAGATTATAGAGATCTGAACCTTTTCCTACTTTTCCCAATCTTTTCTGCCTATGTGGCCAATAAAAATTACATTTCACATTAATAACCTCTGTGACAGAGGCTCATTGGTGACAGCTGGCAGAAGGGTTCACTTTTCTCTACTCATCTCTGACCTGACAAACTCACTGTACCTAATACATCACTTTTATGGTATTTATCAACGAAGGGTGAGATCTGTACTGTAAGTTTGTAACTTACCAGTACTCCTCCTCATTATGTATGGATAATATTTAAGGATTAATGTAACTATATTGAAAAATATTCCCCTTATGGTCTTGGAGTAAAAGTTAGTCCACAGGTAACCATGTGTCTTGGTGATGACCCATTCATGTGAGAGGGAGTTGTCACCCTGCCCTGGCTAGCCAATTATGTAATGTGTTTGATTGCCCACCCTTGCCCCATTCAAGAACAGTCACTGGAAAACCACCAAAAACAACTGCAAAGAATCAAAACCACTTGGAGGTAAAAAGGAACACTGTAACAGACAAGAGCTCACCCTGTCTGTGAATAAAGACAAAAGACTTGATTCAGTATATGACGGGGTGGAAAAAGACCCTCTGTATCCATTCACTGGGGAGACAATTTGTTGAAAGGGGGTGTATTCCATGAAAGTTTAGCTCTGCAAGAGAATGAACTTCGGGGGTGGGGAAAGGAATCTACTTTATTCAATAAGAAAGGTAACTTAATTGTAGGTCCTAGTTTGTGGTGTATGAATTTAGTTTATTTTGTAACCACCTGTTTCCATCACACTTTCTTGTTTTTAGTGGAACCTCTATTCTTTTTTACTTAAATCTTCTTTATATTAAGTGCTCACAAGAGCTGTGTCTTATAGAGTGGTAATTTAAGGTAAAATTGGTAAACTGGGCTACATTAGTCATGTAGGAGCAGAGGATCTGTGATTTCTATGAGAAGCCAGTGTCAGGGGCTGGATATCAGAGGGGAATGCTTTAAGGGGGCTCAGGAACTGAGGTGCACCTCTTGCTAACCTGCAAGGTGAAGTGAGAGCTCGCATAGCTTGGAGGAGATATGGAGCTAACCTGGAGCTGCCACAGGAAAGACTCATCCCACTATAACTGACTCTCAGTTCTGGGTACCCCAAGAATCATCACAACCACCCTTCTCCCCATTTGTCCATCTAGAATATTTGTGTTATGCTTTATCCCTCCTGGGAAGTGGCATTATGCCAAAGTTGATTGAACATGTAAGGCATGTGTGTTTAATAAAAAAGGCAATCAATTTTAAAGGAGTTAGAGCTATCCATAAAAGTATCTAATATGGCTTCCATAATGTAGAGTCTGAATGAATATGAGTTGTTGTACAGGAACATTATCTTCAAATATGAATCACTTACATTGTGATAAGCGTTTAGATAAATTACGTAGCGTGAGTGTGGGTACAGTATGAAGATGTTTTTTTAATTTTGATGAAGTGCCACAGATTTCTATTGTAAGGTTAATAAAATTGCCAAGGACGTGAAATATTAGTTTTTCTAGCAGTAAAACCTATATTGCTTAAAGCAATAATATCCAGTATGTTGGTACAAATGACTGATATTCTTAACATTACAATAGTATGTAAATGGACATTTCCCATTTGTGTTTTGAAATCCCAAACTGTTCAAGCTGACATTTCAATATCTGAAATTATAGTGCTATAGCTTCTTGTTTTAACATTGCAAAACATTTGTGTTACTTTTGTGAATTAAGTTACTGACTTTGCTGTTCTTCTACAGAGGTGTTACGAACATAAACAGTACAGAAATGGGCTGAAGTTTTGTAAACAGATCCTTTCTAATCCAAAGTTTGCAGAACATGGAGGTGAGGCTTCAGATGGCATATAAAACTACCATAGCCTGCTTATTATATGCTTTAAGACAAGTAATACATACTTTAAGAGATTTTCTGTAAAATGTCATAAGTCTTTTAGCATCTTTTTGTTCATCCTTTGGATAAGTAATTTTAAGGGGAAACTGATGAAGTACAAAGTGTAACTTTTGGAAACCCTGTACCATAATGTGATACTTTATTGCTGATATAACATTTTTAATAGCTGTCCTTAATATTTTTATTTTTTCTCTCTCATATCTGAAAAAGCAGTACATGATTTAGGGAAGGGGTTGGGTCGAACACCACACATACATGGCGGTTAGAATTATCATCTTGATCCTCCAGTGAGGGGGGAAACAGTTTGGAAGAGAAAAAAGGTTTTTTTCCCACCCAACTTTTTTTTTTGGGGGGGGGGGGGCAGGGTCTGTCTTCACTCTTTCGGTTGACCCTCTCTTTTGAAGTACTCAAAGGAATTTCCTTTTTACCTGTTAGACTGGCATGACTGTCCTTTTCTGAAATCCACTTTAAATGACTGCCTTTTCTGTTAAAGAATGGACTATTTAAACAGACATGGCACTCCTTTCCAGTAGAGGAAGAGTGTCTGCCTACCAGTGTATACAGGGAAAACTGACATGCTTTAAAGTAGAATACTGGTTCAGTATTCTATAATACTGGTTTTTTTTAACCAGAATACTGTTTTTTTAAACTGGAAATATGATACAGAACTTATTGTTTGAGCCTCATACACTAACTGAATAAGCTACAAGTGTAATCTTTTGTATCTGAAAATAGAATAATTGGAATCTTTTTGTGCTACTAACTTTCCTGAGTCTAAAGTCTTATGTATGAATATTTATATGGTTTAAGTTATTAGTTTATATCAGGGGTGAGGAACCTACGGCCTGCGGGCCAGATCTGGCCCGCTGCTTCATTTCATCCGGCCTGTGGCAAGTCTCCGCATCGTGGGCCGGAAGCCCTGAGCCTCAGTACCACCCCCACCCCCTGCGGGCCTGGAGCCGCGTGCACTGGCTCGCCCCACAGTGGGGGGGAAATTAGGGTTCCCAGGCCGTTAAAAGTCCGGCCAGCTCCACATAGCTCCCAGAAGCGACTGACATGTCCCTGTGGCCCTTAGAAGCAGGGGCGATCAGGGAAGCTCTGTGTGCTGCCCCCAGCACCTGCTCCGCAGCTCTCATTGGCCAGGAACCACAGCCAATGGAGCTATGGGCGCGGGGAGCAGCACGGAGCCAGGGCAGGCAGGGAGCATTTACTAGATTAAACCCCCAGGCCTGAGCCCCTCCTGGAGCCCACACACCAACCCTCCTCCTGCAGCCCAGAGTCTACCCCACCCCAGAGCCCACACACCCAGGTAGAGCCCTCACTCCCTCCCGCACCCCAGCCCAGAGTCCCCTCCCGCACCCTGAACCCCTTTTTCTGACCCCACTCCGGAGCCTAGAGGAAGCCCCGAGCCTTCGCACCACCTCGCGGAGCTGTGTGCCCTGCAACTGATTTTTTTTCTGTGGGTCAGTGTCCCCTGATAGAAAAAAGATTCCCTGTCCCTGGTTTATAGAATGTCTTTTGTGTTTAATAAAATAATAGATTGGTATCAATTGAATCCTAATGTTTTTTAGAAACTCTGGCGATGAAAGGACTAACGCTGAACTGTCTAGGGAAGAAAGAGGAAGCATATGAACTAGTGCGTAGAGGCTTACGGAATGATTTAAAGAGTCATGTCTGTATCCTTTTTGAATATGCCTTCCATTTCTGAATGCAGAGAAGGCTGTTAGAGAAACTGATTATTTTATAGAATGTGAACAAGAGCCAACATCTATCGCTGTTCCAAATTGAAAGTGTACAACTGGTAAGTTTAATATGCATATACATATACAAGTACATTTTGTTTAAACTTATCTGAACAATTTCATACCTAAATTTTGTCACAAAGCTGTTCTAGGAAGCACAAGCAATTAAATACACATTCTTGCTTTTGTGGGAAGAATTATAGTTGTTGAATCAAAATCATGCTATTCTTTTCCATTGTATTTGCAAGTGTAACCTTTTTCCTTCAGAATTGCTTGCTATGGCCCTGATTTAAGCATATACTTGAGCATGTGCCTAACTTTAAGCACATGATTATCCTATTGATGTCAGTGGGACTAGTGACATACTTGAAGTTTAAATACATACTTAAGTGTGTGCCTGAATTGGGGCCTGTATTAGGTAAGTTAAAAAATGCAGGTAATACAAGTTGATAGTCCTTTCAAACAGTAGGAAAATGAATTGCAATATTGTGCGCCCTTCCCCCACACACCATGTTCCTGTAATATCAATTGGTGAAAAGCTTTATATCTTCAGTTTGAATGTTCTAGTGCTGTTACTGTCTGTTACAAAGCTGGATTTTTTATTTATTATTATTATTATTATTATTATTTTATTTATTTTACCTAGTAGGCACTCTTTATCTGTCATTCTGGATTGATTTTCTTCACCCTCAAATGCAGTAGCGTCCTTAACAAAGTTTTGCAGGCTGGCATGTGTATGGTCTTCTCCAGAGGTCAGACAAGAAGTACGATGAAGCTATCAAATGTTACAGAAATGCACTGAAATGGGATAAAGACAATCTTCAAATCTTGAGAGATCTCTCTCTGCTACAGATTCAAATGAGGGATCTCGAGGGTTACAGGGTAAGTAGAGTATTTACATTATTATAGGCTTCCAGGAAAACAGAGCAAAGGGTTCGTGCAATAATTAGTAAACTTGCATACAGTTTCCTCAGGTTAAAGGCCATAGGAATCAAAACATTAAACCCTTATATGCTTAACACTTTTGACATTCAGACTCAGATATGCAGAAGACTACTTTTTAATGACTTTCATATAAAGAATATAATTTGCTAGGTTATCTTTCTATTAAAGTAGAGTTGTTCACTAGTGAACACTTTGAGTTTTGTCTAGTCTGTAAGTGTCCCAGGTGTTGATAGGGCTTTTACCACTTTCTTTTGGAGACTGTCTGCTGCCTAACAAAGTTTACTATCAGGAAGACTGTCCTAATATTCAACCAAAATATTTTCCTTTCATAACTTTCTCCCATATATTCATCCCTGTTATTCCCCATATAAGCCTCTGTCTGTTCCTCTCATTCCTGTGTTTTAGATTTTCAAATATTCATAGACTGTTACCATGTTTCTTCTGTTGATTATCTTGTAGCCAAACTGAACTTATTTTAGTTTTCAACCTTCTATTTTCCTTTTAAGCCAGTTTCTGCAGCTCCTGACTATATGTGTTGCTCTTCTCTGAATTCCTGTCAGTTTGTCAATAGTTTTCTGGTAAAATGTTGCTTAGAACTGAAGACGCTGTTCTAGATGCAGTCGCACTATGGTGTTTTGTTTCTGTGGACAAAGACTACAACCACTGCTCTGACATCTCTGCAAATGCATCCCCAAATTGAATTGCCCTTTTTTGCTGTCCTGTTGCATTGCAGACTCATGTCTGATTTGCTGAAATTAAGAATTAGTTTTTTATCTCCCCATGTGTATTGAAGGTGGGATATTTTCCCCCAAACGTATGTGCTTGCATGTTTCAAGTTGAATCTCATATGCTGTTCATGTTTCTAATTTCTCCAAGTCCCTTTGTATTTAATCTGTCTTGACTGAAGCTCAAAACTCATCCCAATTTTATATCTGTGAATGTCATCATGCAGTTTTCTACTGCTAGCTCATAGATTCATAGATTCTAGGTCTGGAAGGGACCTCGAGAGGTCATAGAGTCCAGTCCCCTGCCCTCATGGCAGGACCAAATACTGTCTAGACCATCCCTGATAGATATTTATCTCATTTAATATAAAAGTTAATTAAGATTGGACATAATGCAGCTCCCCCAGTTTTATGCATTATTGTTTATTATTACTCTTTGCTGTTCTTCATGATCCTTTTCTGTTTGTTGCTCATGCTTGTTACCCTCTATGTATTTAGTGACTTTTTAAAAATATTTTAAAATTACTTGCTGTCCCAGAAATCTCAGTCAAAAAAATTCACGACTCCCTGGAGAGTCATACAGCTAGGTTCTGAAACTAATTAAAGGCCATTTGCAGATATCCATAAAGATGGCTGCCACTTACACTAGCCATTCTTCATGCAAGCACTTATGTTGAGTTGGGTAGAATCTCTGATTGAATACATACAGACTCCTTGATAAATCTGAAGTGTCATTACTACAAGAACTGTTCCCTAGGTCTCAAACTGAAATATCCTGAATGATGCTCTTTATTTAGTATTTTTAGAGTAGAGAAGAATATGCCTTGATACGAACATTGATGTTAGTTTGGCTCATGAGGACAGCTTAGTTGGAAATAGTACCTCTTTAGTACTGTTTTAGTTGACTGTTACCTTTTTTCACTTTATCAAAGTTCAAGCTTTTTAATTTGGCGCAATTGCTAGTTTTTCCTTTGTTCTGTGTTAAGTAGTCTTATTCAAATATATTGAAATGTTAAAGCTACAGTATTTTATGGAGAACTTCAGAGTCCATGAGAACAGGAAAATTAGTAGTTATAACTGTCTTGCAGGAAACCAGGTACCAGTTACTTCAGCTCCGACCTGCACAGCGAGCCTCATGGATTGGTTATGCTATTGCTTATCATCTGCTGGAAGATTATGAAATGGCAGCAAAGATTTTAGAGGAATTTAGGAAGACTCAACAGGTATAAAAAAGAAAACATGGAATTCTTCGTATGTTTTGATTAGCTGTGAGCCAAAAAAGTAATTATTTCAAACACAGAAACAATTTAATAAAATGTAGATTTTTAAAACCAAATGAATTCAGTTTACCCTAAGTTTAAGTGTATGCGACAAGGGTGAACACTCATATATGCCTTGTTTAC